GACTCTTCACATGTATTATAATTATTAGATAGCATCCTTTATCCCTATATATATGGGGTTTATGTACTCATCAAAATAAGGAAATAATATATATACATTTTTCTCTATTTTTTTCTCCCGTATCTCCTTTATTTTAAAATAAAATCACTATAGATCTATTTGTTTTAGATTCATAATTGTAAAGAAAAAGAAATGGAATAAAAGTAAAGTAAAAAAAAGGAATGCTAAGAAAAGGAAATAATTTCTTTTTCTCTTTCCCTAGTCCGTGCCATCGACAAGCTTCGGAGGAAAGCTTGTGTAACTACTATCTTGTGGACTCCTCGTCAAGCTAAAAGTCTTGCAAATGCCCGGGTCAAATCTGCTGATATTCACAACGTCAGCACCATTGTCTTTGAAGAACCACCTCTTGATCTTCTCCAGCTTCTAGATAGAGATAAGTCAAGCTTGAGTCCAATGTAAACTTTTATAGTTTAGCTTTCTTATTTTCAAAATAGAATTGCCCGTCCAGCTTAGTTGATAGAGCGCAAGACTCTTAATATTGTGGTCGTGGGATCGAGTTCCACGGTGGGTACTTTCATAATTGCCGGAGGTCTTCCACAGAAGTTGCTCTTAACCTAGTATTAGGAGCAACCTACTACCCTACCTCTCCCTTACCTCATTACATATGGGAATAGGGTTAGCTAATTTTTTTTTTCAAATAAAAAAAGTACTATTATAAAATTTAGATTGACAATTAAATCAATCATATAATTTATTTTTAAATCAAATAATTAAATCATCAATTAAATAAAAATAAATAATATTTTCAATAATATTTTCTTAGAATAAAATATATAAATGGTCCATCGATTATAGGGTATTACTTTATTGAGTCTCTAACTCTTAAAAGTTATAAAATGGTTTCCGACTATTCATATGTTCTAAACTCATTCTTGTCCGTTAAAACATTGACATCAATCTAAACTGAAAGTTAACCTTCTGATTGAGGTATGATAAAATCATATTTTAATGATGTCTCTTGATACCATAATTATTTTCAAACATTGATTTGACATCATAAAGTAAACATAAATTCAATCAACAAAAATTCAATATTTTGGCAACATATTTTATCATAAATGATGAGTTTGAAACATATGAATAGTCAGGTGATCATTTTGTAATATTAATAGTCATACGACTCAACAAAACAATATCCTAAAATAGATTAATTATTTTATAACTTTTAATAGTTAAAGGACTCAACAAAAGACCATTTATGTGCTTTATCTATTTTTTTATTCACAAAAATTAATTTCGCACATATACATCCCAATCAATTTTGCCTTTTTATATATATTTTAAACTACTAAAATCTAAAAAATATATAATCGTAAATCAATACAACAACTCAAATAAATTCATTTTTATCCCATGTATTTGTTAGTTGGTGATCAGTGGAGGAAATTAAATTTATTTAGTTGGTAATTAGTTGGGGAATTTCTATATTTCGTGGGTGAAGTTATTATTGGAGTTGTTGGGTGTAAACGAGCTGAGTCAAACTCAAGTATTGCTAAATTCTACTCAAACTCAAAAAATTTTACAGCAATCTCAACTCAACTCAAAAACTCACAAGCTAAAAATTATCAAACTCGACTCAAACTCAAAATATAATATTACTCGAAAAAATTTAAACTCAATAAAAATTCAAAAACTCAATTAAAACTCAAGACTCAAACTCAATTAAAACTCGATTTCAAGCTCAATTTCAAGCTTGATTTTGAGCTCAAAAATGTGTTTTCCCCACGTTCAATCCCGCTTCTTTTATAAGCTGCTTCTCGCCTTGTTTCTTTAAATCTTTATGATGTGGGATTTAGGCAGCCAACGCACTACAACTTACTGGCCCTGAAATAGAAAACAGCCGGTTGGGGATTGACTTTTCTCCATTTTTCTTCTGCTATAACTTCATGGGTTAAGGAAGATAAATAATCACCAGAAAAAAATCAATTCTTTTCCTGTCAATAACAATCCTTTAACCCACACGCATATATATATCTTCCCTTTCTTCTTTCAGTCGCACCGACTCGTAACTGTAAAATACTGCCAAACCTTCCAACACATGGAATATTAATCCCTTCACATCCACACAGGTAACCTTCATATATTCTTGATGAAAGATGAATATATGTGCAAATATCAACAACTATTCAGTTTTACAAATCCATCTCGATTTCAGGAGGAAAATATAAACATGAAAATGCTCAAACAAACCTTTGATTCTGCATACAATTTTTGTTTTACAAACCTCTCGATTTTCAAATATGTAACTCGGGGTATATTAAACTTCGCTGAATGCCATGATGCAAATAGAAGAACATGAAGGACCACAATTACCTGGCCAGTAACCATTGTAACATGCTGATTTTGGCTAAGGTCAATACTCAGTCCATGCATTTCAATTTGTCCCCCCCTTCTTTTAACCAAAAAAGCTTCCATTTTTGTACTAGGTACAGAGCAGAAAGCTAAAGGATCGAGTTCTTTTATCAATGGAACAATTAAGATTGTTCCAATAACTAAAGTTTAAGACCAACAATTATAACATGTAATTAAGGAATCTTAATACATGTTTTGTTGGCTCAAACCAAAACTAAATTCATATTTTGATAACTGAAATCATATGATTGCCAACGACAAAAAAATCATTCGGATTCTCCTAATCTGCTCTGCCCTGCAGATTGCAGTCCGTATGAGAAACTTTTTTCAGTTTGAATATTAAAACTAAAGAGACAAGAAATTATGAAGCAACCGAATTGTCTATTTCATGTAGACAAAGATTTGACATGTCAATTTTTTTTAGTAATTAATTTATTGAATCTTTGTTAGCAAGCTCCAAATATATGTAAATTGGAATCGACATTTTCGGGAGTTCGACATAAAGGCCCCAACACGGCAACAATTAGCCAAATACGGTTGTTCTAGAGTATCCTGTGATCCATGTATTTCTTCCTATGGAACACTATGATCCCATCGTTTTAGTTGTATTTGTACATCAAATTTCCGTTTACATTATGTCGTCGATTCACTTCTTGAAATATTATATTGGTAAGTCAGTGCTTAAAAGCAATGACGGTGTCAATAGTCATCATTAAGATATGATAAAATCATGTCTCAATCAGCATGCTGTGTATATTTATTTTGTACATTGATATGTTTATGTATAAGTATGTGAATGATTTATTTAGGAGTAATATAACATCATTTTACATAATTTGTATGTTATCTTCATGTGCATAACTTAACCCCTATCACATAAACGGATTAAGAGTTTAGGATTTAGGGTTTATAGTTTATAGTTTAGGTTTTAGGGTTTAGGGTTCATTATAAATACATTAATTAATCTACTTAGTACCGATTTATGAGGTAAGTACAATATAACATCTTGATATTAAATGCTCAAACCTTTGATATTTATGATATTTGAACCCGAAACCTCAAAATATAACAATAATTTAAAAAAATTAGTTATTAAAAATATTATTATTAGAAATATATTAAATATTTGTCATTAGATAAAGAATTTTTAATATATTTTTAAAATTTTATAATTATCAATAATGTATTTTTAATATATTTTTAATAATGTAATTTTAAAAAATCTAAAATTATAATATAATATTTTTTTCGAGTTGCTCACGAGCTTTTCGAGTCGAATATCGAGTAGCTCGTTTCGGCTCGTTAAGAACTCGAGTCGAGCTCGAGCTCGAGTCGAGTCCATTCGATCCGAGTATTTATCGAGCCTTAATTGAGTCGATCTCGAGTAACTCGCGATCTGTCTCATCTCATTTACAGTCCTAGTTGTGCGGGTTAAAAGACGAGTAGGAGTGATAGAGAGATAACGAATCAAACAAAGTCGTCCGCCGGCTTTGATCCTTTCATTAACTATCTATAATTATTTCCTGTGGTGTTAGATGGCAGTTAATAGCTATAGTAAATAGATACAATTTCGTAAATTTTGTATCGTATTCATTTTAATTAGGGGGATTGGTATAATTTTAATGGGTAGTGAGGGAGTGTAGATTTAGAAAGTGATATCCATCGCGGGTAGTGGGCGGATGATGGGTTTGAGACTTTACCTGCCCGCCCCGTATCCGCCCACCCCACATCTATCCGCCCACTAAATACCAATTAAATTTTAGACCATTATGAATTTATGTATAATTTTAGAGATTAATTTATAAATCTTAATATTGTATAAGATATATGCTGTTAGGCGGGTCTAGTCGGGTACGTATCCAGTTGGGTAATAGGTGTGTGGATGGATCTGAAAATATACCCACGTAGGCGGATGTAGATTTAAATTTTTTTACCCATCATAGGTGGTAGACGGGTGATAGATTTAAAAATATTAGGTGAGTATAAGAATAGAGGAAAGTATATTTGCATTCGTCGCTCCCGTTTGCCATCCCTAACAGTTAATAATCACTTCCAAATTCATATATAATATATAATACGACATTTATGCATAAATCTAATTTAATATGAATTATTTTATTTTATTCTTATAAAAATTAATAAAATATTAAAATAATATGTTGATGATTGCAATCTTAATATTTATTGTTGTAAAATATTAATAAAGAAGTGAATTTTATTTTATTGTAAATTTTTATTTTTTACATATATAAACAATAATTTAAGACAATATATTTTAATAAATATAATGTATTTCAAAAACTAAGCGAACTAATAGTTGATAATATTATGTATTTTTTATTGAAAGAATAGTTTGAATTTTATTTTAATATATTTTAATTTTAAATATAATGAAAAAATAATTATTGAATCTAACAATTTAAACTTCAATAAACTAAAAAAGTACAATCACTAAAATCAATTAAATCAAAATATAAAAATTAAATCCATGGTAACCAATGACAAAATTTGAGCTTTTATTCGCGTTTTCAATCGCGTTTTCAAGTGTAGCATAACTCATGCCCAGTGAATCCCAGGATTTTTTTTTACATCTGTTTATCCTATCATTGAAACTTTAGATTCTGTTATGTCGATGACGATTTGTGATCACTTCCTAACAGGGTCTTCCTCAGTCTTCAAAGCATTTCTCATTCATAGTCACCGAAACTGAAGAACCGTGGAAGTTTACCAAAGAAGATTCTGAAGAATTGTGTTCTTTTTTTTTTAAACAAAATGTGGAGACTCAAGATTGCGAGAGAGAGTGTTGGCGATGGCGATTGTGGGGGATGTCTAAGGAGTTTGAACAATCATGTGGGTCAAGTATGGGAATTCTGCCCTGAATTAGCAACCCCGAAAGAGCTTTCTAAGGTGGAAATGGCTCGTCAGAATTTCCGGGATAACCGTTTCCAGAAAAAAAGCACAGTTCTGATCTTCTCATGAGAATTCAGGTTAATCTGGCTGTTGAAAAATGAATTGGGTATTTTGTTAAATAGTTGTTCCTGTAATTTGTTTACCACTTCTGGTCAGAATTGGTTCCCTTCTGTTGAGATCTCCATATAGTTTTTCTTAGTATTTCATTACATGAAACTTTTACTTCTATGATTGATTTGATATATGTGTGTGTGTGTGTGCGTGTGTGTGCAAGCTTAAAACTGTTCTATTTTTCCGTGGTAAACTTCATATCCAAATTGTATGGAAACACTTCCTATCCAATTAAGTAGAGAAAAGACTAGTTGTTTTTTGCCTGTCGTCTAAGCCACTGTTGATTGTTTTTGCCATTTGCATTTATGGGTGCAGTTCGCAAAGGAGAAACAATCTATCACTAGTTTACCAAAAATCAAACTGAAAGAGTTCGAAGATGTTGAGGAAGAGGCTGTAGTGACAACATTACGCAGAGCCTAAATATTTATTCAACAATACAAGCTGAAGATGGTCACTGGCCTGGAGATTACGGCGGCCCTATGTTTCTACTTCCTGGTTTGGTAAGGCTTAAGTAAGCTGCATCTGATTATAATCTGTCTGTTGATGTGGAAAATACTTAATATATCTTTTCTGTGCTTAATCTACCGAGGAAATTAAACTGCTGCTTCCCATTATGTCTGCATCTTTTACTTTGAGATTCCAGGATTATTTTGGTAGCTTTCTGATTACCTTGACATTACTGCATCTTTCAACAACTAGTAATTGGATGATGTGTAATTCAATCTTTGTTTACAAACTGTAACAGTTTATAACATTATATGTTACTGGAGCCTTGAATACCATCCTATCAAAGGAGCATCAATATGAGATAGGCAGATATCTATACAATCACCAGGCAAGTAATGTGGATTGTGTGCTTTATAATATATTAATTCTGCTTGTTGAGTAGATATTACAAAATAACCATGACATAAATACATTGTAATTTTTTTTCTGTTGGGTCTTTGGAATGTTTCTCACATCAGTTGAGCTTGTTCTAGGTAAGCATGGTGCTATCTAGATCAAGGAAAACTAAACCGCTTAACTTGCCATTATTTTATGAACAAATGAAGAAAATTGCTCTGTTCAAAGAGTTATTTGATTTCTTGCAGAATAGAGATGGTGGTTGGAGTCTTCACATTGAAGGACCAAGCACCATGTTTGGTTCGTCTTAAGTTATGTTAGCTTGAGGCTGCTTGGAGAAGGTGATGTAGGTGGACGAGGGGCAGTTGAAAAAGGGCGTGAGTTGATTCTAGAACATGGGAGTGCAACTGCGATTACATCTTGGGGAAAAATGTTGCTTTCGGTACATAATCAGTCTTCACTGTTTACTTATTTGTAATTTTCAGAAAAAGGGGTAAAAATTCGAACAAATCTGTCAATCTTTTGTCAATATTTGATGTCCCTGATAGGTGCTTGGAGTCTATGAATGGTCAGGGAATAATCCACTGCCTCCAGAAGTATGGCTATGTCCTTACTTTCTTCCAATCCATCCAGGTTTCTCTTATCTTTTTTATAGTTATGTTTTTAATTCTGCATTCCAAGCCATGTAAAAGAACAACAAAAGTGTGTTTTTCCTGACCTTTAAAAGCTGTGAATATTTACATGGGTGTGTATTCTAGACACTTTCCATTGCTATAACTTTTTTTGTCACTCCTAGTCCTTAATACGTTTTTATATAAATCATAAAGATTGTGATGTTTTCCAATTACTTCTGTTTCACTTTCCCCCCTCTTAACTTCATTGACCTGGTTCCTTTCAAAAGCTAGTTAGTAAATAGGACCCTTTTACATGTCTTACATCTCTTGCAAAGGTTCTACATACTTCTACTCTAGATAATAATTTTGTATATTTCTGTAGGAAGAATGTGGTGTCATTGTCGAATGGTTTATCTGCCAATGTCATATTTATATGGGAAGAGGTTTGTGGGTCCTATCACACCCATAATTCTTTCTTTGACAAAAGAGCTCTACACTGTTCCATACCATGAAGTAGATTGGAATAAAGCTCGCAACACATGTGCCATGGTTGGTTAACCATTTGCGTCTTGTGAAAAACAATGTTTCTTCATATATATAGCAAGTTTTGGAATTAGCCAATGATACTGCTTACTTGTTTCATTTAGGTTCTCTTGTTATTTGACGTGGTTAGTCTGCAAGTAGATACGAGGTATTTTTGTGAAATATTAAAACCAGCTCCTGATATTATTATGAAAAAAATACACGCTGAGCATTTTTCATTAGAGTGGCTTAAATGAATAAACTCATAAAGAATCTCGTGCTTTCTCATGACTTAGGAAAAATTATTTATCTTCTTTAAATTGTAATTAGATAATCTCTTAAAGACTGTATGTGAATATGTATGTAAGTAAACTTTAATTGCACGGTATTCCATTTTTGCTTTTGTGAAAGCATGTTCATTATTCGGAGTCTTTTATGATAAGAAAGAATAAGTCTTGGGAGTCTTTGTAATCTCTATCTCTAAATATGGTTTTATCTTTGGCAAAAAAAAATCATATTAGAAATCAGCAACTCAGTTTATTTAGACTACTGTAATCTCCTAAATTCAAGAATCAGATTTCTCTTTCATTACCTCTTTTATTCTTTCCCTCTTCTTCAGTTTATTTCCTTAGATTATAACAGTCTAGATGATGGATTTTGTCTTCAGATTTCAAGATTGGAACTTTATTTCTTTTTTTTTTTCCTTCCAAATATTTTTAGGAAGATCTATACTACCCACATCCGCTCGTTTAGGATATTCTTTGGGCATCTCTCCACTATTTGTATGAGCCTATGATTAAATACTGGCCTTGTAAAAGCTTGAGGGAGAAAGCATTGCAGACTGTCATGCAGCATATACACTATGAAGATGAGAATACCCGGTATATATGCACAGGGCCTGTAGAACGATTGCACATGATCTTTAGATCTTTATCTAGAAGAAAGCACATTGTTTTCATTTTGCTTAATATCTATCAATGAAAGGGATGGAATATGTTGACATTCATATCACTTTACTAAGATTAAGTTGCTTCTTCAGTATGGTAAAGAACCGAGTGATGCTTAGGACATGAATCTTACATCTCACTCTAAGGAGTTTCTGATTTCCTATGACTTGTATTCTGCAGGTCTTGAATATGCTTTGTTGTTGGGTGGAAGATCCATATTCAGAGTCATTCAAACCGCATCTGCCTAGAATCTTAGATTATTTGTGGATAGCTGAAGATGGCATGAAGATGCAGGCGCTGAACAATATTGGTTTTTCTGATTCTTAAATTTACACCATTTTACTCAAGTTCCTATCTTGTCTTGTTGCAGTTCTAAAAATGGTACTATCCTGTTTCAATTTATTATCTTATTGAACTATGCCAGGGAAAATGATATTTTTCTGTGCAAGAAATTGTACTATGATGCTAATATAATTCAATTTCTTATAAATTTATTTCAGGGTTATAATGGAAGTCAATTATGGGACACTGCATTTGCTGTTCAAGCTATTATTTCTACTGGTCTTGCTGACGAATATGGTTCAACTTTAAGAAAAGCACACGACTTCATAAAATACTCCCAGGTTTCATTTAAAGAAGTCTTTTAATAATAGTTTTATCATTGACCACTGTTTCCTCAAATGATTAGGTTTTCTGTGTTTTCAGGTTTTAGAAGATTACCCTGGGGACCTAAATTTCTGGTATCGTCATATTTCAAAGGGTGCTTGGCCATTCTCAACTGCAGATCATGGATGGCCCATCTCAGACTGCACAGCAGAGGGGTTGAAGGTACAAATAATGAACAACCTTTAAGAGACTGCAAACTCTAAAATATTTTAGATTTGAGTAATAATGATCTCCTTCTGCAGGCTACATTGTTACTATCAACACTACCATCAGCAGCAGCTGGGGAACCATTAGATGTGATGCGGCTATATAATGCTGTTAATGTTATCCTTTCCTTACAGGTAATTTGGATGTTACATTGGTGTTAGTGTTTGAATTCTTCTAAGAAGTGTCTGGTGCTAGGAATTAATAAATGGTCACTGTTGACAAATGGAGGAAACCTCGAAATGAGGCTGGCATTTTGTTAAAAGGTATAATGTTTTGTGGCTTTTTAGTAATTAGGTAGAACAGAAGAGCATGGTTCTTATAATTATGCCAAACCAGTGAAATTACAAATAACTTTAAGATGCAAATTTTGAGAATGAGCTTAACTGAGAAGTAGAAGATGTTGATGAAGTGAAATTTTCCTCGTTGTATTATAGGAACTGTCATGTATTCTATCATCTATGCATTAAGTGAGGCTGTATTTTTAATGCGTTGGTTTGAGTTGAACTCGAGATTTTATTAATTAATCGAAATTATTAGTTTATCAAATATTCATTTATTGAGATCTTATTGTAGTATACACTAGTGGATGTCATCATTACCTTGATCAAGTAACTTTGTTTTGATGGGACATATCTGAAATTTGATTATACAGATATTCCCTTAAATTTGATTAGACTTTTTTATCACTGCAGAATGCTGATGGTGGTTTTGCTACATTTGAGTCGACAAGATCCTATCAATGGTTGGAAGCAACTACTTGACACGTATATGGTCTTATAATTTTCCCCACTTTACATCAAACATACACAAAATACATACACAAACGGACAAAGAAATATATACTCAAACATGCATACACACATTATCAATTAAAAGTAAAAAGGTTACTCAGAAAAGAAAATGTGGTTTTAACCAAAAAAGAATAGCCAAAACTAAAGAATAAAAATAAAATAAAATGCATTCCCTTAAATTTGGCTACCCCCAGTTATAAAGCATGCATGGGTTACATGTTCTTGGCTACCCCCAGTTATAAAGCATGCATGAGTTGACAACTTTTGGTGACATAGTTATCGACTACCCGTAAGTTCCTAGCGTACTTCATTTTCTGCTTAAATCATTTTTCTATAACTGATTACATTCTGATTTGATGTTTATGGAGTGGCAACATAGACATGTTGAATGCACCTCAGCAGCAATTCAGGCACTAGCCTCATTCAGGAAATTATATCCTGAACATAGAACAGAAGAAATTCAAATTTGTATTGGTAGAGCTGTTGAGTTTATCGAAAAGATGCAAGCAACAGATGGCTCCTGGTTCGCTTAGAACTATTCCATAATCTATATCTTCTTATTTATTTAGCTGTTCTGTGTGTTTTTAGAGAACAGTTGTTTTGGTGTGTGTTTAAGTCTTATGTAATCTGTTTATCAATAATATAATGAGGTACTCTTTTCCTCCTTCCGCTAGTCGGTTCTTTCCTTAGGGAATAGGACTACTATGAGAGAGGTTTTTAACGAGGCGTCCTGCTTCTATCAAAAAAATAATAATCTATATCTTCTTCGTAATAATTTGTCTTGACAGATTCTTCTACTTTGATCACTTCTTCAACATGGCAAACTCAGTATCCATTGCTGAAGAACTTGCTTTGTGCTGTCATTGTTTGCCAGGTATGAATCCTGGGGCATCTGCTTCAGTTATGCAGGATGGTTTGGAATAAAGGGGCTATCAGCTGCTGGTAGAACATACAAGAATAGCTCTCACATTCGTAAAGCATGTGATTTTCTGTTGTCTACAGAGCTTGAAACAGGTGGTTGGGGAGAGAGTTACTTATCATGCCAGAACAAGGTTTTGATCCATCATTTATGGAATTTCCTTGCATTTTCTTCTATAGGAACATCTGACTTTATGGAATATCTCCCTGAATAAACATTCTCTTTTTGAATTTACTAATTATGCTCTAAATTTATATGAGTTATTTGAGTGTTTCAAGTTCAATCAAGCACAACTTTAAGAGAAAAATGGAAAGAAAAATAATGGA